ACTGTGTCGCGCGAAACCGACATAGTTCTCGCCCCGTTTCTTCGTAACCACCCACAAAAGACGTACTACGCGCGTGTGTGTGTAAGTCACTGTACATGGTTGTGCGTGAACCTCGTTGCAAAATGTACTACTGACAGAAAGTTTGGAAACAATATATGCTTCTTAAAGGACAGGCCGGCAGAAAAATAAACAAAGTTATCATTTACGGTTCGTTTTTCAGGGTACATATACTGTTGAACCAACGAAGTACAATGCAGTGAATTCAATTTTAGTATATCATGTACTGTTAGCCTGTTAACTGGGGAAGCCGAGTTAACTTGACACTTGTTCGCCAATACTTAGAACACAATAATTTATTTATTGAGTGATTGTTCATTTTTAATTATACTATTATGTCTGTATTATACATAAAATACATCATATTCACATTTGCAAGAACCAAAATGTAGTAATTGGTTACAATTTTTACTTATTTTTAATTCTAAGCTAGAGAGATTTAATTTCGGTTTGAGAAATGAACCCACTTAACAAGTTAGTAATATACTTGTAAAAAGCAATAGATACATGTGATTATCGTGTAATCCTGGTGAAACTGGATGAAAGATTATGGAACCATTTACAAAAAGCTTCAATCAGTGATTTTCATAAATGAAAACCTGACACAATTTTTATTATAAAATAATCGAATAAATAGATCACTTGCAAAACAGGATTTATTTAATAGTGTAGTATTTCTCACCATTTGGTGCACATAGTGACAAAGAGAAATTTTGGGAAATGCTATTGCTTTCAAAACTTTTTGTCCGTAGTCTACATATCTCTATACACACATACCCGTACATATATCCATGCACACAGGCATACTTTTAAATTGACTGCGGGTGACCGAGACTCGAGCGGGCGGTCCCCTTGACAGCCATGCGAACGAGTCTCGGTCGCGATAAGGACCCGTGGCTGCGCTGTTGCCAGCGCCTCGAGAGCACGGGCTAGACTATATTTCAATGAGAGAGAGGACCGTCCGTATCCTTTGTATGCGCGTGCACCCGGTGCACGGGGCCAGCTTCGCTTTTATCGATTCAAATCGAATAACCACACACGGGGATGTATGCCTCGATTCTTCTGGCTTCGTTCTCATAGAAAATGCCGGCTAAGAACCCCTCTAAGGAACACTTCTTTTTCCACAGTGGATAGGTAGGAACTTGGAAACGGAAGGGGTGGAGGAACTGCAAGACAGATGAAAAATTATTAACTTTTCAAATACTATTGAATCAAGTGAAAACAATTTACCATGATTAACAGGGTTACCAACAGATTATTCGTGAACTGTATGTAACTGTACATTGGACATTAAAATACGAGGAAACGAAACTACAACAAAATGAGACAAAGTTAATAGTTTGAGAGAAAAATCGGTAGAATACTTGTTCGATTGATCGACAAAGAACATTGTGACGCAATAGTGCCGGAAAATAAAGTATCGACGATGCGGTGACCGAGAAACCAAGTGACCCGATGATACACGAACTGCGAGTTAACGGCGTTTGTCCGAATCGTAACTCTGCACCTTTTTCTGCCTCTAATAAGCTCTTTTTTTGGTGGATCCAGCGTAATGAACAGTTTTCAAGATGAATCACGTGAAATCCAGCTTTTAATCACAAATATGACGTTGTAAACACAACTTACATGTGCACACGCGTCATCACCGATTATTGTCATTCTTATCGATCATAATCTATTCCATGGAAGCCACGCTTTAAGAGACTTTTTTCTCTTACATTTAAAAGCAGAAACATCCGTAAGTCATTGTATTGCGCATTATGTGTTTGTAATAAGGTTTTCACTAGAAAATGTATAGAAATGACTCACCAATAAGCCAGTTTCCACGCTGGGCAGTAACGTGAGCTGACTGCCATCTTGTAAACGATTTTCCTCGAGCGTTCCCTCACGCAATAACCTGAAACAGA